CCTGCTGTGTTCATCCAGCTCTACACCTTGTTACCTCAGATTCTCCAGCATCTGCAGTTCCTACTATCTCCAGAACACTGAGATAGCACAGCTTTAATGACATTTCGTTTGTCCACAAGAATCGTGTATTTAAAAATAACAATTAAACTGAAAAATATATTTGACTGTAGAAAGTGAGGTAAAGAGGGAACCTAATAAGCTTCAAGAGAAACACCAAACATTGTTAGTTTGAAGGGGTTTTCCAATCAGTCTCTCTTGACTTTATGTAACTGAACCACAAGAAAGAGGCGAAATGCACCCAGAATTATTGTTATCTAAATCCTTCCTTATCAGTATATCTGTAAAATATTTTGCAAAATCCCTCATAATCAGAATTAAGTGGCCAGCATCATCGCTACCAAAGCTTATAATTTGAAAAGCTAATGTGGAGGACTAATGGTAAGATGTGAAAAGTTTCTATGAAAGAATAACAGTAGAATAAAAAGTTACTTCAAAAAATTGTGTTGAAAATCAAGCACTTGGTAGATTTTAGACTTTCACCACTGGATCGTGAATTTGGTTCTAACCTAATGTAAATGGCCCTAGTGGCTCACGGTAAAAATCTTGGCAATCTCAGAGTGTTCACCAATTGATGCAATTTTCCATGGTGAAATTTTACCAAAATTCTACACATGACAATAACCCAGAATGGGGTTAATGCATAAGACTGCACAAAGATGGAGGTATTTACTCCAGGATTTAATCATAGTTCTACTTCTGCTAAGAAAGAGATTTTGCTGAGAAGGGATGTGAAATTATTGAAGTGTATATTTTACCCAAACCTGTTCATCAGAAATAGAGCAGGTGCAGCTCTCTGTCCTGTTTTATACCCTGCTAAGCTTAATACTTGACAGAAAGTGTAAATCAGATGAGATTTAAAACAATATCTGAGCAGAACCCACTCCATTCCCACTGGGTTCATGGCTTAATAATGATCTTCCATTCTTTTACAACAATCCCCTTGAAAAGATGAATTTCACAAGTAAAAACTAATAAAATTTCGTAATCCAGTTGACAGAAATTCACAAACATATTTATAAAATAAATTCAACAGCTGATAGGTGAGATAGTCAAATCCGTTAATCAGACCACTGGGCCTAAATAAGGCTTTTAATATTTCCTTCATTTTCATGTTAATCAAGGCTTGCAAGTTTTAGGTAAATTATATATGTCATGGGAATCAAAACCAGTGAATTATCAGACAAATGGAACATTAATGAGGGTAATGCTTTAATGTAGGATATGGCCCATATAGTTTTGTTTATAAACTAAACAGCAAAATGCCAACAGAATGCAAGACCTGGGGCTGTTACATTCTGCTAATATTCATGTAATATTCCAAGGAGAGGGCTTCAGTTCAGTGAGATTTCCATCTACATCATTCTTATTTTCCTATATTCAACATTTTGAAAAAAAATCAGAAACAAAGCTTAATCTAACAGTAACCAAACAGAACTGCTATCAGATCATTTGTTCAGTTTGATCACTAATGACCCAAACATCACTGCACCATATCGCCATGGTAACCATCCTGTTGAAAGCCAGCAACAACAAAGCTTTATCTATTTTACAGATCACCTGAGGATGCTGGAGCACTGCAGTATGATGATGCCATTAACAACGTGTAGATCATTCCTTGTGATGATCCAATATTAATTTCTGATGGGACTTCTCTTGTGTGTGTTTCTGCACAAAATTAAATGGTATAATCCTTACCCACAAACTAAAATCAAACAGCTCAGAATAGAATTTTGAGAGACAATGCTGTCCCATTTCATATGGAGGATGTAGTCGATATGGGGAATGGGGTTTCACGCCAAGCCCATTTACTGGAAATGGAAATGGCTCAGGGCTCTGACACCTTGGTTTAGAAGCTTGTAACCAAACAATAGATGTAAATTTATCTTATTGATTTGAGCTATGTTCTACTGGCAGCACAACACACAAAGCAACCATTGATGAAAACAGCACCATGGAAACCAAAGGTAGCTTTGCACAGCATAGTAACTCATGGCACTCAATAACTTTTGGAGCAGCTGAAGTATGTGATAAAGGAGAGAAAAGCTGGGCTTAAGTTGAGGGAAATGGCCTCAGCAGGTATTTCTCTTGCACGTCCAGCGAAGAATGTGGTGGTCTTTAAGAATGGAGATCCTTTCTTCACTGGAAGAAAGCTTGTGGTGAATCCAAGACAGATCCTTACATTTGAGTCTTTTTTAAATGAAGTAACAAATAACATCAACGCCCCTGTGGCTGTGAGAAATATTTACACACCAAGTGGGGGACATCGGGTCCTTCAGTTAAATGATCTACAGAATGGATCTCATTACGTGGCTGCAGGATTTGAAAAGTTTAAAAAAATAGAGTAAGTACATTTATGCTATTTCGTCTCACTCTGCCCATGAGCTAAAGTTCCTGTGGGTTTGAAAAATTGTGTGTGTTTGATTTTACAGAATAAGTAAAAACAAAACAGACAAAAGTGATCTTCAATAATCTTGAGAAATCTATAGTAACAGGCTATGAAGTCAAGGTTTAGTCCAGTTTACTCAAATTCCTTTAAAATCTGCCTCCCGTGATTATTGCAGGGTAAATCTCAAGTTATTTACTTTCAACTTTTCTGTCTTTTTCAATTCTTCTTCATCCTATTTCCCAATCTGTATTTTACTTTCTACTCCTCACTTTAAATAAATGGAATTTATTTTTCTTGCTGTTTAATTTCTGGTTTGGATTCTGTGAACAGAGCATTTAGTCCCTGATAGGGGCAAGAGTAGATCAGACTGGAGCTAAAATTCAGGTCATCAATTGCCCCAAGCTCCTTTCCCAGAAATGGGGTAATGAGATGGGGCTGGGCGTGAGACCAGGGCTGGGAATGAGGCCAGGGCTTTTGGAGGATTATGGGTGAACATACTGGTTATATTGGGCTCCACTTTGAAGTATACGAGATGAATCAGACCACTGTGCATCATTTGCAAGTTTTATGCATTTTCTTTTTCTTTCTGGGAGGCTGAACTGTCCCTAAGCAAGTGTAACCCATTAACTTGTTGTATTTTTTGGCCACCACAAAACAGAATAACTTCAGAAAGGTGGTCTCCTAGTAGCAGAGGGAAGAGCCAGGAAAAGAATATGAGAACTATGTTCTTCATAAGAACTATAACTTCTGGTCATCCACACAGGATGCCCACATACCAATGAGAACAGAGGGAAAGCTGTTTGGCATTGCACCTCTGAGATCTAAGAGAAAGCTGCATTAACTCCTATTCAAAGAGTTGCTCTCTAATGGGACCAGCGTTTGAGCAAACCTTATGACTAGGGAAGTAGCGATGGAGTATTAATATGAGAATGTGAAATTTTTCACTTTGGAAGGAAAAGTAAATAAAAGTATTACTTAAACAGGAAATAACTACAGAATATGGAGCTGCAGAGAGATCCAGGTGTTCTTGTATGTGAGTTATAATATATTACTAGGGTGGGAATTATGAACAATTGGATTTTTCCATTCATTCATTGGATGTGTCAATGGCAAAGCCAGCTTTTATCACCCATCCCTAAACTTCCTTGAATGGAACAGCTTTCAAACTCATTTCAGAGACCAGTTAAAAGTCAACTGCATTGCTGTATATCTAAGTTACACGTCATTACATTCAGCATGTCCACAATGACTCTTAACAATTTTTATAGATAACCATTGAAAGCATACTATCTGGATACATCACAGATTGGTATGGCAACTGCTCTGTCCAGAACGCAAGTTATGAACACAGCCCAACCCATCACAAAAACCAGCTTTCCATCCATTGACTTGTGTCTATACTTCCCACTGCCTCGAGAAAGCAACCAATATAATCATAGACCCCTCCCACCCCAGTTATATTCTCTTCCACCTTCTTCCATTGGGCTAAAGATACAAAAGTTTGAAATCACGTCCCAACAGATTCAAGAACAGCTTCTTCCTTGCTGTTATTAGGCTTATGAATGGACCTCTCATATATTAGAGTTGATCTTTCTCTGCATCTTCTCTGCAGCTGTAACACTATATTCTGCATTCTGCTATGTAAGGTATGATTTGCCTGGTTCGCATGCAATACGATACTTTTCGTTGTATCTTGGTACATGTGACAATAATAAATCAAATCAAATCAAATGTAGGCCAGACCAGGTAAGGACAGCAGTTGCCTTCTCTAAAAGACATGTATAAAACAGATAGGTTTTTACAATAGTCATTACACTGTCCATATTAATCTAACTTTTCACTTCCAATTTCTTTTCTGCATTGAATTCCTGTATAATTATCTTACATGGTGAGATTTGAACCTATGCCCCAGGCTGTTAGCCTGGGTTTCTGAATTACTCATCCAATAACAATACCATTTCACCACCACCTCCCCCCCTTGATGTCACATTTGACTGAATATGATATCAAAGAGCTCTCGCCAAACAGGAGTCAATAGGAATCATCAGGAAAATTCTCTGTTGGTCGGAGTCAGACCTGACACATAGAAAGATGGTTGTGGTTGTTGGAGGTCAGTCATCTCAGCTCCAGGACATCTTCACAAGAGTTCCTCAGGGTAGTGTCCTAGCCCCAACCATCTTCAGCTGCATCATCAATGACCTTCCCTCCATTTATAAGGTCGGAAGTGGGGATGTTTGCTGATGATTGCAAAATGTTCAGCATCATTCACAACTCCTCAGATACTGAGACAGTTCATGTCCAAATGCAGCAAGACCTAGACAATATCCATGTTTGGGCTGACAAGGGGCAGGTAATATTCATACCACACAAATGCCAGGCAATGACCATTTTCAACAAAAAAGAAGCTAACCTTCACCCTTTGACGTTCAATGGTGCAGCTTTAACAACACACAAGAAGCTCGACACCATCCAGGACAAAGCAGCCCGCTTGATTCGACACCATATCCACAAACATTCACTCCTTCCATCACTCGTGCTCAGTAGCAACAATACGTAGTATCTACAGTATGCAGAAATTCACCAAAGATCCTTAGACAGCACCTTCCAAAAGCACGACCACTTCCATTAAAAAAAAAGACAGGCTGCCACCAGTGTGGGTCTGGAAGGGATTATTTAAATATGAAAAGGTGAGATGCTGAAGGAATTTGAAAGTGATGTTGAAAATTTTTGAATCAAATTACAACTTTAGCAGGCTCCTTGTAGGTTAACAGGCACCAGGATGATCGGTGAACATGATTTGGTGTGAATATAGGCACAGAGAGCAGCGTTTCATTTTTTAAGGAGAGGATAGAATCTTTGAGGCCAAGCAGAAGTGCATTAAAACTGTCAAGTCTAGAGGTGATGATAACCTGAGTGAGGACTTCCGCAGCTGATAAGCTGAAGCAGGGGTGAAATGGCTGATGTTATGGAGGTAGAAATAATTAAGTCTCAGAAAGATGGGGATGGAATCTGTAGAAAGGGGATTGAACACAATGGCTTCTATTTTATCAATATTGATCACCAGTCATTTAAAATTTATTATTATTTTTCAAAGTTTCTGAATCATACCCATAAAATTTTATTTTTCTTGACGATTGACACATGTATCATATATAAATTTTCAGTGAGTATATCATTCAAATTTAAATGCATATTTTATCCATTAACCTGTCTACTAAGTTTAACTGGGTTCCTGGAAATGCCAGCAATCTTCTTCATAATAATCACCTGACCACAAGGTGCGGTGCTATCTGAAAAGTTTACAATATATCATCATTAAAAGTTCCCTCCACCATATCATTTACAGACAGTGTACGTAACAAAAGGGCACAGATCAGGTTCTTGCTGAGCTTCACTCATTAATTGCTTTCCAGATAGCTTCGATATTTCCCTCCTGCTTTCTATTGCTAAGATAATATTCAGTCCAGTTAACAAACTTGTCCTTAATACTACATGTGGTAGCTTTCTCTGAAAAACCTTGTATTTGAATTTTATCAAATACCTTCTGAAACATAGCTGTTGCCAGTTTCATTCAAACAGAAACAGAAGCAGGCCTTTCGGCCTCTCGACACTGCGCTGCCATTCAATAGGATCATGGCTGATCCAGCATTCCTCACATCCATTTTCCTGCATTTCTCCTTATCCCTTGATTCCCCAACTGATCAAAAGTCTATAAATCTCAGCCTTAAATATACACAAGGACTCTGCCCCCAGAGATCTCTGTGGCAAGGATTTCCAAAGACACTCAATCCTCTGAGAGAAGAAATTCCTCCTCATTTCAGTCTTAAATTAGTGTCTTCTACTTTAAAATAAGCTAGGAGTATTAACAGATTGTGTCAAAATGTTTAATTTAACATACCATTCATTTGTTAGACATTTTTTATCGATATTTGTAAAATAAATCAAACATTTAACTCAAGAGAAAATGACCACAAAATACATTCCTATTTGCCCAACTATTTTACTAGTTTACCCTGCCCTTACATTATGTAGACACACTTGGCTCACACCTGCAAGTGCCGGCCGTGCATAGTTCCTTCCATGCATTATTGGTGCGTGTCAGTTTATCAGTGCCAGGACTGGTTTGCACCTCGCTGCTGACAGCTCAGAGAGATGTCCTTGCCACCAGCGATCCATTCTCTCCTCTGCCTCTCCCTGGTTCCCAATCCCCAAGCCCTCAACACCTCTCCTCTGAGTGGTGGTCCTTGTATCTGCTTCATATATAAGCATTCCTGAGAGTCCCCCACATTGTAATCACTCATAGAGTTTGCCACTTACACCATGCTGTCTGGCTGAGATGGTCACAGAAACCACTCCCAATGTCCTCCTCTCTTTGTTTTACCTGAGTATGGTGACTGTACTTTTTTGATTTTCCTGGCAGCTGTGTTTGGTAATCCCTGCATCATCTTTAATGTGGGCAGCTATTTAACATGTTTCTGAGTTTGGCATCACAGGCAGGGCAGTTACCCACATGGGTACTGTGGAGATGGCAGTGTACTGCTAAGGTCACGGGATGGACAATTCTGTAAGCCAGCCTCACACCCTGGAGAATCTGGTGCTGCTATGTCAGCTGACAGGATTTGAAAGTTAGTCCCAGCCATGGGATTTTATTATTTGAGGTTGTCACAACACACACACAATTGGTTCAGAGATAGTAGGAACTGCCGATGCTGGAGAATCTGAGATAACAAGGTGTAGAGCTGGATGAACACAACAGGCCAAGCAGCATCAGAGGAGCAGGAAAGCTGACGTTTCTGGTCTGGATCCTTTTCTGAAGATCCTTTCCAGCTCTACATCTTGTTATCACACATACAATTGGTTTGTTTCAGTAGATATTTCAGACACTCAGTAGCTGAACCTCTTTTAAAGATGTTACAGGGTTTTGAACTCATTGGAAATGCTCTCGTATTCAACAA